AAGGTGAACAGGTGGAAAACCCTTAGAACCAGGGTGTGACACACACAAGACGCCGTGATCGGCGCACAGAGCGAGCGGTGGAAAACGCGGATCTTTTCCTCAAAAACCGCCTGCACGCATGCAGGTCATGCCCTTTTTGGGCGTAAAGGTTGACCAAAGCTTCAGCCGCAGCGGTGGCATTGTGCAGTGGTGAAGACCTGTCATGTAATGCAATCCCTGAGATCTGTGGTGTGAAAACTGTGAAATCTGAAATCTGTCAAATGGCTGCGGTTAAAAGTTGATGGAGTGATCGACGCACAAACGGAAAAGGTTCAGGTTCAGAAATCAATGGTGGGAATTCCATCGTTTATAGCCCGGCGGCTCGAAAATCAGGAAATTCAGAGGTACATTGAAGTAACGAAAGATCAGTAATAAAACAAGCAGGAACAATGAAATCCAGAATGGCTTCAGCGCCTCCTTTCGGAGGGTCACACCCAGTACCCACGTGGGAAGACTGAGCGGTCCACACTTCGAACTTGGGTTTTCAGTTAGACTCGATTGCCACGATGGGAAGGAAGGTGAGGTAACGGAAAGGTGCATGAGTCAGCAAAACTGTATTGTTGAACAAAGTTTCGACAGGTGTGCGGTGACGAGCCTCTGTACAAGTCAGCTGCGTGAGAAATTGGGGAGGTTTGTGGGAAGTATCATGAACCACCATGCAAACAAACCGAAGGTGGAACAGCTTGATCAAAAGTTTGGTGCAGGTACGTCGGCAAGCGTCCTTGCCGATATCCTAGGATCATGTGAGGAGCTTCGTTGGATGGAGCCTCACATGTCCTCTCCATCCCCCTGCCTTTGATGAGTTCACATCAGTGAAAATTGGAAAATTGGAACGGTCTCGGTGGTGGTGGAAAGGTGAACAGGTGGAAAACCCTTAGAACCAGGGTGTGACACACACACACACAAACAAACACAACCACAAACACACATAATGTTGGATGTTGATTAGTAAACCGGTCCTCAATAATGCTAAATGTTTCCAAAATCATTACAGACCCCATGTTTGAAAAAGTTGTCCTGAATAATGCTAATTTTTTGGGGGGGGAGTATTTTTCTTTGACACTTAATAAGGGTTGGAATTCCTTCTGAACCCTGTCCACCTGCACTCCCCCTCCCTGCCCAGGCAAGCAAATAAGAAAAGTGTTTTCCACTGGAAAAATAGATCTGCTCATGAGATCTCCCTCTACATAGCTCCTAAGGCCAATGATTCTGATTCATTAGCTGATATAGGTTTCTTCGAAATTGACAGCTTTCCAAAACCACCAATTCCTAATTAAACCCTTTATAAAACATTGCTCCTAAACAAATTTTCAAGGTAGTAGACCAGGAAGGCACCTGATCGTCAATAATAGATTTGTTTTAGGGGTTCTCAATTGTGAAAAGTTTTTTCCACTGGAAAAAATGCTCATGGAATCTTCCTTTACTTAGCTCCTGGGGCCAATGATTATGATTCATTAGCTGATATAGCTGTCTCTAGGTTTCTTCAAAACTGACAGCTTTCCAAAACCACCAACTCCTAATTATATAAATCCTTTATAAAACATTGCTCCTGAACAAATTTTCAAGGCAGTAGACCAAGAAGGCACCTGATCATCAATTCTCAATTGTGAAAATTTTCCACTGGAAAATAGATCTGCTCTACTACTACTACTACTACTATTACTACTACTGCTACTACTGCTACTACTGCTACTACTGCTACTACTGCTACT